TTGAGGGAGAAGCTGTGGAAAGCTGTGGAGTTCCGCTCCAGGGGCGGTAAAAGCATCAAATGGGTTACGCAAGATGAGAGCCAGAGTCCCCCCGTCTTCCTGCAGTGGCCAATAACAGATGCTGCAGAAAAACCGTAAGAACAAGAGAAAGAGCCATCTCTAATAGATTTTTCCAGCATCCAGTGATCTGAGGCTTAGGGACTTTTAGAGCTAGAAACGGGGTGTTGGTAGTTAACTTTTTTCTTTGAACACAGATAAACTTGCAGCCTCCGTGCCACCCCGCAGCAAGGAGTCCTGCAGTTTAGCCCCACGTTCAAAGTCTGCGACCCACGAGAGTGTTCCGCAGCTGGAAGGAGGAGATGAGGTGCAGCCGGGGACTGTGGCACAGGTAACTTCGGGGCTGTCACGCTCTAAAGGGGGCGGCGGTGGTCCCAGTAAAGCTCTGAGGTTTAATTTTTGGGTGCCTGGGACTGCTGTGGCCACTAAAGCAGCAACAGGTGACAAGGACAGCTAGGGGAGTCGGGCAGTCAGGTAGAAAATTGTGACTTAATCTCGCTGAAGCAGAAAGGGTTGCTAATGACAGCAGAGCTCTCTAATCCCCCAGTAACGCTCAGCGTGCTGCCCTGACATCCCACAGACAGACTCTAAACTGTTTACCTTTGTGTAATTGGATTGTTTGTGTACGGCCCCGTTCCAGGGAAGGGAAGGAGTGCCGACCGTCCTGTCTCCGGAGGATTCCATTCCGAGGTGTAGCTCCCTGGCATTAAATGCTTTGATCCCAAAGGATCCTCAGTTATGCATGATTTAATCATCCCGTGGATCCTGCCAGCTGGTGTCTGGTCGCACAAGTTCATGTCCATTTATTCTTCCTCCACCTCATTTTTTATTCTTCTTTTCCTCCTCTCCCAAAAGCCCGTGACCTGGTTGCTTATGGCTTCCTGCGATCGCTTTCCCGAATGAGCCGTGTGGGAGCTATCCGGACACATAATAACCAGGAAGCAGGTGACAGGCATGAAGCCTGTACAAGAAAGGGCAGATGACAGGCAGGAAGAAAGAGGAGCCCTTCTTCCCTGCCCAGGCCAGTGTCCCTTTCAAGAGTTCTGACGGGTCATAGGGAAAAATAAGTCAAACGGGTCCAGCACATGGTGAGATCCCGAGCTGTTCCCACTCTCCTGCTGGAAGAGATGGCGGGCTTCCCACGTCTGATGGAAAGAGAAACCAGGGCATCTGTGGTGCCGAGCCTTCGTGTCACCAGGCAGGCTCTGAATTTAGAGCCAAGGACAGTGCTGAACTGCAGACACTTATCTTCTGCGTCATTTGGCCCAGGGTTGGCTAGCTGGGGCCAAAATAGGAAGGAGGAGCAGGAGGTAGACCACTTTTTAGATGTCTCTCCCTTCCTGGCGAGACAGATATCACTGCTGGAAGTACTTGAACACTGCAAGGTCAACTTAATATCTTTAAAATAGTTTACTTTCCTGAGCAGCCTCCACTTAATCTTATGTGCCTGGCCAGCTTGTAAGAGATTCTGCTGGCATTTTTCCCAGCAGCAGTTTGAAGTGGTTTCTTGGGGACCAGGTGACTTGCTTTGATTCCCCAGAGAAAAATGTGGACTTAAATTCCAACCCGTATTATCGCAGGGGATGGGAGAGTAGATTGTGGAGAGTGAACCTTAACTTGTGTGTTACCAGGAGGAGTTTGTGTGTTTAATGAGGCTGATAAAGGGGGCGTATAAGCTTGTGTATGGAATGATGGGTGCCGGACCCTTCTTAGGCCTGTTCAGAGCAGCTGGCAGATGTGGGAATCGGTACTGCTGAGGAGGCTGCTTTGCCCACTGCTGAAACTTAGCCGTTCCTGCAGGAGAGCGTGGTAGCTGCTCTGCAGCACGTGGTGATGCTGCCCTGAAATCCAGGCCCTGCCGGGAAGCAGAGGAGCACAGCGGTCAAGAAAAGAAACACCAGGAGTTTCAGGTAAGCAAAACACAGCCTGGCCTGCTGGGCCCTCGTAGGAAGACAGAGCTGGCACGCTGTGCAGCATTAATATATCAACGTGCAGCTCTCGTAGCGGGAGCGTGGCAGATCAATCTCAGCAAAGCCACTTGTTTCTGTCCTTTTTGTTTTAACTTTCTTTTAATTGGGAAGGACTCTGCACTGGGTTTTATTTACTCTGCCTAAAGCCTTTGGCACCCCTGTCTGAGGGGTGCTCGTGCTTTTGGCAGTCTGTGTCGCTGATTTGCATCTGTTTTACCTCCTTTCCTGCTCTGTGGGTGACTTCTCACTGAATCACTATTGACAGTGCTGCTAGTTAATGTGACGAGCATTCAGGTGGGATGTATTTGCCAACCAAATGGGTGTTTGCAATGGAAAAGGGTGAGGTGTGGTTTGGGGTCATCTAGATGAGCTGAGTTTGTTTGTGGCTAGTCCTAGGGCGGGACCTCTGCAAGCTGCTGGGATCAGTGAATAGCGCCATGAAACTCTGGTCTGGGAGGCCCTGCCTAGGGTGAGGTCCGGGGGTTTCCTCAGCAGCAGAGGGGAAAGCACGGAAGAAGAGGAGTCCCAGCTAGGGGTTTTGTGCTGCTCCCCAAGGAGTTGAGTGCGAGGCGGCTCTAGCACAGGTTTCCTTTGGCAAGTCAAAGGGGTTGATCTACTAGAAAAAGATGTCCTGGGGCACACGGTTCCTTCTCCCCTTTCCCTGATTCATTTTTAAAGCCCTGGGAGTGGCATTTAGCACGTGGGGGCTTCTGACCCCTTTAGTGACGCTTCTTGGGGCAGTAGGTTTACTGTGCTGTCCTTCAGCGTCATGGCAGAACTGAGAGGGGGAGGTATACCGGCTGATCGGCCCCTCCAGACTCAGTCCAGCTTAAACAGCCGATGGAGATGTGCTTGCATAAAACCAGCATGCCTGGAGAGGCTGAAGGGTTGACAGCCGTTGCAGGGCTGTGGCTTTAGGAGGGGATGGTTGAGGTTGCGGTAGCTGTCTGCGAGGAATGTGAGTTGGAGGGGAGGATTTGTGTGTTGAAAGCAGAATGCAGCAGCTTGCTGATAAATGATCTGCTATGCTTCCTTCCCACCTCACTTTGTCATCTGAAAGACTTGTTGGTCAGTGCCAAAAGAAACTGAGTGGAATTTCACTTTTTTCCTCTCAAAGTCCATGCCTATAAGTCTACTTGCTCCCAAAGGCAAAACGCAAGGGGTAAGAAATTGAAGATCTGGTCTTCCAAAGCTCTATAACGGTCATTTATACTTGTGCCCCAGCCTCACGGGACATCAGTCCATCCTGCCGCAGGGTCCCTGCGCAGGCGGGGTTTATCAGAGGATTTCCCCTGCTCTGTGTCAAAACATGCAGTCTCCCAGTCCCATCTTGGGAGGGACTGTGGAAACGCATGCACACGTGTGGCGTGACGGACCTGGTGAACATCCTCAGCCCTTTGCGCCACGTTCAGAAAGGTCCCTCTTTGTACTGCTCTGAAGCTGCCATGGCTGATAACAGCCAGAGATCGAGATGTGCTTGTCAGGTTTCTGGAAGAGATGGCACAACAGAGAAAAGATCTTGCCTGGCTGTCGCAGGGATAAGAATGTTTGTGGTGTTGATTTTTTTTTTTTTTTCGTGGAAGATTTGTCTGTGTTCAAACCCGTCACGCCTACTGCCTGTTTCCCAGGGTCACCTTCCTGGCCTGGGGTTAGCAGAAGGCAATTGATATGTTCTTGTGAATAATGTTCTAACATACCTGCTCTTCTCTAATGAAAAGGTGCCAACAAAACCGGGAGGTTTCATAATACTTAGACTGCCTGGGCCACAAACGTGGCAGGCCACAAACATCCAAGCAGCCTGTTTCCTCTGCATTGATGAATAAAACTGATCCTCTTAAGGAAAATACGTGCTTTACGATTTTTACAAGGTACTTAGGGGAAGCTGCCTTCTGATCCTTGTTGGAACTGAGTAGCATGATCTGGAAAAAACCGCACGTAATTTGCCCTGTAGAAGTTTTGATACCTGAGTGAAGCAGACGGAAACCTCTGGAGGAGGGGGCTGAGGTGGGATTTCATGCCTGGAATCCGATCTCTTTGTGTATGCATTCCTTGTGGAGGACACGGCATGTGGCTGAACAGGCCGTGAGCAAAGAAACTTTTGCAGAAGTGCTTGCCCGCTTTGAGATGGGTGCGTGTGTACTTAATGCACAGCGGGTTTCTGGCTGTATTCAGGGCACTGTTCTGTGTTCAGCACCCCCTGCAAACTGGTACAGGGTTGGAGCGACCTTGAAATCAGCTCTGCGCTCCTCCGCAGCGTACAAGGTGGGCTGCTCCTTGATCAAACGTGTGCAGCATTGCACTGTGCTGCTTTGTACGTCTCCGTGGGACGGCCCTGCCTGGGGGAACTCACGGTGGGGTTATTTTCCCAATGCATTGCACAGTGTGTGTCATGCCACTCCCTTGACCCTCCACATCTTGCCTGTGTGTTGAAGTCACTTTCCCAATGTTGTCCTGTGGAATGATCTGATGTTTCTGCATCTGTGGGAGTCAGGCTCACCCAGGCTGATCAGTCACGTTGCTGCCCTGAAGGAGCTTGTGGGGAGGAAAAAGGACGCTAAGGGGAGCTGTAGCTTCTGGAGGGAGCAAAGGCATTTGGGTGAAAGCTCAGTTTTAATGAAGACCATTCATTTGAAGAGTTGTAACCAGCATTTTGGGTGGGATGCTCCTGTATACTTGCGTGTTCCACCACTGTCTCTTTTTTTTTTTCTCCTCTGCTGCGGGCTCCTTTCCTGGTGAGCTGCGTGCAGAGATCTCACACAGCTTTGCATTTGACTGATACACACCAAGCTGTCTGCCGAGTCTCTTGCTTAGCAAAAGCAAAGGTGCTACAGCATCATTCTGAATCCAGGACCACAATGCAGTCATGTTCATGGGGTGGCTCAGCTCCTGGTCTAGGAGATGGAGTGGTATCATGTGTTGAAATAGAAAGAGCCCAGAGCTGAACACTTCCAAGGTCTTGGGGGAGTTTGCAGCTGAATTTTATACACAGGAGCATTGTATTTAGCTGTAGGTGGAAAAAAACCCTAAAAACTAACCATGCAGAGTCCCCGGCTCTCTTAGTTACGGGCAAGGAAAAGGGAAAAGCAAAGGATTTACTGTTCTAATAAGGCAGAAACTCTCCTTGTTCATCTCTGATCAGAACCCTTCTGTGTTTCCAGTTGGCAACTTTGTCAAGAGTGGGAGTTGAAAGCCCGTTTCCCAGCCCGCCAGCTGCGTCGTGTCATAAAAGGCAAAGCAGATAATAACGTATGCAACTCTCATAGTGTAGCCCAAATTCAGGGTGGATGCAAAATGCTAAGTCCCCATGTTTATTAAGGAACCAGCATGGGTCGTATGGCTTAGGCTGTTGATTTACAAATGACGTTTCTTTTTCACTCCCGACTGTGTGAAAGAGCCTTAATAAATTAAATGTTTTTTAGCAAGCCTTCTCTGCAAGAAAACAAGTGATAAGAGGGTTTAGTACCTCTGGGAGCAATGGGGCAGGCAGAGAAATACAGCCGCCTCTGGGGGGGCAACGGGCAGTTGTTTCGAGGTGAGCAGCAGCTCAAACTGGTTCAAGACTGGGAATCACCATGTCCAAAAGTGAAAAACCAGAGATGAGCTGTATGTTATCATACTGTAATTACCCAAGCAGATATTTGGTTAAAGAGAAAGCTGAAACCCCATGCTTAGGGTTGGTGGGAAATTCCTGTGGGCCCTTAAAATTCACCATTAGCTGGCTCATTAATTTTTTGCTTCCTCCAAAATGCCCCCCTCGCCCTGCCCGCTGTTCGTCTCCTTCAGGAGCGGAGCAGGCCTGGGTCTAGCTTCAATACCAACTTTAAAGAGCGCAGCTGTGTCTCTCATCCTGGTGAGTTCCCCGTGGGGCTCTCCTATTCTGGTCACGTCCGACCTCGCTTTCCTTGCGTGTAATGCCCTGCTCTTCTCATTAGCAAACCTCGCAGCACTTCACAAAGACCGTCAGCCCTTCCTGGCGTCCCGGTGGGGAATGGGGAGGATGGGGAGGTGTGGCAAAGCAAAGTGACTTTCCAAAGGTTGTGCCACAGCCCTGTGGCAGGCCGGCCCCTGAGAGGGCGTGCTCAGCATACCGTCCTTTCGGAGAACATTAGCATCACGGAAGTTGGGGCAGGATCTTAGGGAAGGGAGTATTTCTTCATCCCAGCTCCCGGCGGATTTCTCCACATGCTCTCTGGGATGTCATTCACTCCCACACTCGCACCCGCACACTCACAAGCACCGTGGTGCGAGTTTGGCTGGTCTGGCGAGGGGCTGTGTGACACAGGGTAAGGGATGCAGCAGAGTCATCATCGGGTCTCTGGTGCTTGTCTCGTAGTCTTCCTGACTTGTGATGACAAATGAATTTTTGGGCAGTGTTTTATTTTGCTAGGATAAAAAATTTCTGCTGTTATCTAATTGTAGCACTGGCAGGAGGAGGGCTGGCACATGAGATAAGCTGCAGCCTTGCTGCATTGCCCTGATGGTAGAGCGGGCTCTTCTATTAGCGAGCTGTTCCTGCTGCCTCGACGTCCCAGCACGGATTTCTGGCCTCGACGCGTCCCTCTATTTAAGCAACTGGGAGCGGCAATCCTTTGTTATTGGTCTCTGCACCCTTGGTCTGCTGTTGCTTCTTGTGCCTTCTTACCCACTGTCCTGGGTTTGGCTGGGATAGAGTTAATTTTCCTCCTGGTAGCTGGTGCAGTGCTGGGTTTTGGATTTCATATGAGAACAATGCTGATAACACGCCGATGTTTAAGCAGCGCTCACGCTAGTCAGTCAAGGCCTTCTCAGCTTCCCCTGCCCTGCCAGCGAGAAGCTGGGAGAGGGCACAGCCAGGACAGCTGACCCAAACTGCCCAAAGGGCTATTCCATACCATACAACGTCATGCTCCGGATATAAACTGGGGGGAGTTGGCCGGGGGGTGGTGATGGCTGCTCGGGAACTGGCTGGGCATTGGTCAGCGGGTGGTGAGCAATTGCATCGTGCATCACTTATTTTGTATATTATTATTATTATTATTATTTTCCCTTCCTTTTCTGTCCTATTAAACTGTCTTTATCTCAACCCACGAATTTTACTTTTTTTTTTTCCCCCGATTCTCTCCCCCATCCCACTGCAGGGGCGGGGAGCGAGCGAACGGCTGTGCGGCGTTTAGCTACCTGCCGGGTGAAACCACACCACACCCACACCCACACACACGTTTTCATTCTTATTGCATTCGTACTGACCTTAACATTCCTCTTACAAGTCTCTGTGATAAGTTGATTGCAAGGCTTGGGCCAGCTGCAGCTTTTCTCAAGAGCCTGAGGGTGAACAAAGCCGTCGGACTCCCACCTTCCCCTTACAGAAGGAGGGGGGAAAAAAAAGGCAGAAGGACCAAAACCCCCAGCAAAGCCTGCAGGTACCAACTGCTGAAGATCCGGTGCGAAATGAGAAGAGTCGCTTTGGATTTTTATTTTTTTTTCCGTTGCTTCCTAGGAAGTTAAACGTAGTCCCACCCTCTGTCTCAGCCATTGGCTGTGCTGAATGCTGCCCACTCTTTTGTATAAGGCAAGCGATGCAGCTGTCAGCCTCACAAGCTGAGGATCTCTGCTCGCTGAATATGGGCAGGAGGTCACCCGTTGCCCTCTTCGTGGCCCTGTGGGCCAGCCAGCTGGGCGTGTGGGCAGCGGGGCGCTCCAAGGTGAACCCCCGGATCATCACAGCTCCGCAAGGTAAGCCCCGGGCTGCGGTCGGCTGCAACCTTGAGACGCGGCAGCAGCAGTGTCTGCAGCTGACAGCTACTCCCTGCGCCGTGTATTTTCTACCTGTGTCTTGTCTTTTGAGAAGAGTTGGTCTTTTTTTATTTCTTTTGTCTCTTCAGGGAGACTTTGGGCTTCCGTTAAAATGAGCTAAAATGCCTGTGATCTCACAAGGGGCTTCTGGCTTCCTTGGTTGCTTTTAATTGAATTTTTAGATCCCTCTTCTTGCCAAGTCCTTTCCTTTATACATTCTAAAAACATTTTCCTACAAGCTGGGGATATTAAAGGCCGTCGAAAATGCCCTGAAACAGTGACCATTTCCCCTAACTTGCAGGGAGAAATGGAGAAGTGTATTTGCACAATACAGTTAATTTTCTTGTTTGTCTGATGTACTTACCCTGTTAGCTGCAAATGAGTTCTGTGAGTAAATATTTGCAGAAGATCTCTATTCTCTGAGAAAATATATTTGTCTGAAATGGCACGCAAGGACTTATAATCAGATCCGATCTTAGCAGAAACTGAACAAAGAAATGTTTTCACGGAGCAAGCTTAGAGCACAGCCCAAGCTTCGTGTGTTAAAAAGAGCAGACTAACATTTACTGTTTTTATCATGTGTCTTCCAAGCTTTTTGATTAATACCCTCCAGGGAGGCTTTAACAAAAGACACCGGCTTGTCCCCGGCGGTTCTGGTGTTTGGCTAAGCCGGCGGGTTCAGCTGAGCTGCGGATCTCACGCTGCTCTGCAGTACAACAGCTCCTCTGTCTTTCCTCTTCTCCGGCAACTTCAGAGGACACGAATTTCCCGTGGTTTATTCTGCGCCATCTGTTATTCTTCTGCCGTTATTTATTGTGCCCTTCTTCTTCAGGCCCGTCGCTGCCTGCGGATGAAGGGCCAGGAGCAGAGGGGAGGGCGGTGGGTGCGTGGCTCGGAGGTGGCCTCTGCCCGTCGCACAAAAGGGAGGGACACCGGCAGGGAGGGCAGCGAAAGGTTGCTCCTAGTATTGCGTCATTTGTTTTATTCACCTGGGAAATGAAGTGGCCCAGAAAACGGGACGCAAGAGGGGGAGAAGGCATGGAGCCCGAGACTGAACAGAGGATGGGGGTCACGTATTTCTCCATAGACGTTTCCCCCGTGCCGCTTAGGGGAGGGGGTGGGGAAAGTTGAATTACAGGGGTCTGGTGTGCTTGGAAATGCCTGTCCTGGAGTAAAACTGTGCCGAGGGGGAAGAGCCAACCTGGGGGGTTGATTTCCACCGGTCTCCGTGGGCTGTGCTTGGCTTGCGCACGCAGTACGGTCATTTGGCCTTTCCCTGCATCCGTGTCAGACGGTGGCTTTCCCGGCATTGTACGCAGCAAGGATTTGTCACCGAGGAACACCGAAACCAGTTAGTGTTAGGACACTTCCCTGCAAGGGGATCAGCTTATGCTTAGCTCTGTTTCTCTCCTTTCTTTTGAGTGAGAGCTTAGCTGGGACATAGGCCAAGAGGGATTTCAATTAGGGAGGTATCAGAGGTAGCTGTGTGGCACACTCATTAAGAGTCACTCACGTGTCCTATTTAACAGATTCCATTTTACTTGGCATAACCTCTGCCTTTTAGGAAGTGGGTCTGTGGGTGAGGAGGAGGGTGGAGGGGAGGCTCTGGGGAAGGGTGAAGAAATGGGATGGGGGCAAAGGGGATGCGGTGGGTGGCGGGGAGCCCTCTTTAACTTCCCCAGTGCTCCAGGCACAGTGAAAGGCAAGGGCAGCATCTTTAGTAAAACCTGCAGGTCGAAGCAAGTGCTTCAACCTTGCAGACTGTGTTCTTGCTTATCTTCCCTTTTATTTCTATACAAAATGCTGCTGCTGTTTTGTATCCACGTATAGAAGCTTGTCCCTTGCCGTGGGGGTGACGGCGTTGCAGGGCTCGGTTTGCGGCTCGCGCCCCGGTCCTGGAGGGTGGGGGGGGGGGGGGGGG